CTTGCACTTGGGCATAAAAAATTAATGTCACAAGCATAAAGTGGGGGAAGGCTATTGTTCTAGAAAATATTTGGGGAGAGATCAAACAAATGGGAAAAGGACCCCACATGTACAAAAATATTCATAGCAGCTCTTTTTGTGGTGCCAAAGAATTGGAAATTGAGAGGATACCCATCAACTGGGGAATGGCTGAGCAAGTTGTGGTATATGAATGTAATGGAATACTATTGTTCTATAAGAAATGATGAACAGGCTGACTTCAGAAAAACCTGGGAAGACTTATATGGTCTGATGCTGAGTGAAGTGAGCAGAACCCAGAGGACTTAGTATACAATAGCAGCCACGTTATGCAATGACTAAGAATGCTAAACTGAACCCTTCTCAGCATTACAAGGATCTAAGACATCTCCAGAGGCCTCAGGATGGAAAATGCTGTCCACATCCAAAGAAAGAACTATGGAAGTCGAATCGCTCTCACTTATTTTTACCTTAAGTTGAATTTTGTTTCCTCTTTCTGATGGTTCCTCCTATTGGTTTTAATTTTTACTTACAACTTCACTAATGTGAAAATATGTTTAATGGGTATGTAAATGTAAAGCCTATGTCAGATTGTGCGCCATCTTGGGGAGGGTGGGGGGGGGAGAAAAAGGGAGAAAAAATTTTCAACTCAAAAGCATATGGAAAAAAAATTAAAAAATAAATATTTGGGGGACAGCTAGATGGCGCAGTGGATAGACCACCGGCCCTGAAGTTGGGAGGACCTGAGTTCAAATCCAGACTCAGACCAAAACACTTGACATTTACTAGCTGTGTGACCCTAGGCAAGTCACTTAACCCCAATTGCCTAAAAAAAAAGGAAAAAGAAAATATTTGGGGATCTTCGTGGACTGCAAGCTGAATATGAGTCAGAAGGGTGATGTGGCAGCCAAAAAAGCTAAGGTGATTTGGGAAAGAAGAGCACAGCTTGCAGAAATAGGGAAGGGATAGTCCCATTTCCCTCTGCCCTCATCAGATCTCATTTGGAATATTGTTTCGAGTCTTCATAGTTTAAGAAACCATTCATAAGCTAAAGATCATCCAGAGAAAAGCAACCAAGATGCTGCTGAACCATAAGTCCATATTATATGAGGACAGACGGAAAGAACTGGCATGTTTAGCCTGGAGAAGAGAAGGCTAAGGGTGGACAGCAGAGTTGTCTTCAAGAATTTGAAGGCTCAGCATGTGAGCCAGGTACTAGCCTTGGGGCAGTTGGTATGGGAGGGGAGAACCAGGAGAGGTTGGTGGAAGTTGTAAGAGGCCCAATCCAGCTTGATGTCAGCTAAAACTTCCTAACCATTATTGCTGCCCCAAAGTGAAGTGGGTTGCTTGGAAAGGTAGCGAGTTCTTCCTCCTTGGAGATCATTCTTTCATGCAGAAGTTGGATGACCACTTGGATAACTGAAAGTAGAGATTTATTTCTTGTATGTGTTGGAATAGATAACCACTGAGGTCTCTTCCAGCTCTAGAATTCTTTGATTATGTGAGAATCTCTAATGTTGTCCCCTGAAATCCTAGGAGCAAGGGGAGGCATGTTCATGGGGCCTCCAGGGATAATCCATCTCTTCCTAGGTGCCATAACATAATTACCACTTCTTCCTCTAGAGCTATGTTTTTGTTTGGTTTTTAAATTTTTAATTTATTCTGAACTTAACAAACACACACACACATACACACACACACACACACACACACAAAATGCATGAGCATTTCCATATATAAAGCAGAACATAAAGAGGATCATGTATGGATGATGAATTTCTATTTTATACCTCTTGCTTCTTAAAAAATATGTAATAAATATATAATATATATAATACATCTCACACATTACTTTTAAAGCTGTTCTGCTGTGCTTCCTTCAGTACTCTTCTGTTCATTTAAATCTCACTTTTCATGACCCCATTTGGGATTTTCTTGGCAAAGATAATGGAGTGGTTTGCCATTTCCTTCTCCAGCCCATTTTATGGATGAGGAAACTGACACAAACCGGGTTAAGTAATTTGCCCAGGGTCACACAGCTAGTAAATGTCTGAGGCCAGATTTGAACTCAGAAAGAGGAGTACTTCCTGACTTCAGGCCTGGCATTGTGCCACCTAGCTGCCCTCTTTTTTTCCCCCATTATTGCTGCTAAATTGTTTTCTGGGTTATGTCAACTTCAATCTGCATCAGTACATAAAAATCTTCCCAGAATTCTCTGAAATAGTCTGTTTGGCCATTTCTTATAGGGCTACTCCTTTACATTCATGTACAACAATTTAGCCCCATATGATGGGCCCCCAACTCACTTAGTTTCTTTCTCTCCTTAAAGGAGAATTGAAAGTGGCAGCTGGTGCTCAGAGCACCAGCCTTGGAGTCAGGAGGACCCGAGTTCAAATCGGGCCTCTCAGATACTTGACACTTACTAGCTGTGTGACCCTGGGCAAGTCACTTGACCTCAACTGCCTCACCAAAAAAGCAAAGTAAATAAAAGATACAATAAATAATTAAAAAATATATTTCACAATTCTCTCTGAAGGAGGCATTCTCTGAAGCCAGTTTGTTTTGCTTGCAACCTTTCCCTCCTCTTATTATTTGTTCTCTTGTTTCTTTATCTCTGTTTGCTATATTGCTACAGCAAACTGTCTGTGTGTTGTATGTTCAATCCTCCTTTGTCAGTTTCAGGGCACAGTGCAGTTCCTCTGAGGTCTATTCTGACCCCAGGTCCTGGACCCTATCCACTTCGCCACCCAATTTCTACACCAAATGTTGTGTGTCTTCAACACTCCTTTGCCTGTTAAAGGGGAGGGATGTTTGTCTGATTCCAGTTATTCCTCAACTTTTCCTCTTTGTACACTTATGAGAAACCCTAAGTTCCACCACCTTTTCTCTCTCTCTTTTTAAACACCAGTGCATTCTTTTTTACCTTCCCTTCCCTTTATCCTCTGAAAACCTTTAGAAGCGAACCAAACTACCTGTAGGTCCTCTGTTACCCTTAACTCCCTCAATACCCTTTGAAGATAATAAGGTTGTGAACAAAATTTTGTTTCCCTTCCCCCACTAGAATGTTAGCACTTTATCATTGTATAAAATCTTTTCCTCTACCTATGGACAGAGGCAACCTTAACTGAGATGCAAGTTTGTGGGGAGTGGCTTTTTTTCTGATTTGAGGCTCTCGGTCCCTGTACCTACCACCTGCTCGGCTTCCATTTTTGCAATGGAAATGCCAATGTCATTCCAATCCTCCCACCCGCACTAGGGGCGGGATGGGGTGGTGGCTCTCTCTACTCCTTCCTAGCACCCCGCATTTGACCCGGTTTCCTCTCAATCCCTAGTAACCTGGAGACAAAGGATTAATTAATGGTTCAAAGGGAGTTTGTTTACAGATCGTTAGAAACAGTGATCTGCTAGGCAAAAGAACCCAGGCGCTTGGGGCGCTGTCTACACCAGTGCGGACTGCAGCTCAACGCCGAGGAGCACGGCGCACCAAATATGGTCACATCTGAAAAGCTGCCTCCCAGGAAAACATTGTTCTTGTTCATTCCACCAAGAGCGCCGGGCCGTCGGGGTTCCAAATACTCAGTTCTTTGGGGTCCAGGCAATTCCTCTGGCCTGCTCTATCCTTTCGTTAAGGGAATGTGTGGCCCGTCCGTAGCAAACACCTCGAGTGGGAGTCTGGGTTCCGCGTCTTGTCTCCTCCCTGCCGGTCCCTTTGGGTCCGCAGCTCCCAAGCCCCAGCTCCCAGCCTCCTCCATCTCAGTCCACCAGCACTTTATTAAATAGGGCCACCCTCTGCCTTTGATCCAGTCCCAGACCCTGTCCAAGGCAGTGGTAAACTCAAAGGAATGTAGATCCTGAACCCCGCGGGAGAGAAGGGGGGAGGCTTCAGTGAACTTGTCGCCCTGGAGAAGGGGTGGGGGGTGGGGGTGGGGTGGGATTTTGCCTCCTCTTACCCAGTAAAGTACCCATCACGCCCAGGGCTAGCAGGAGCCCAGGAGGAGGAGGAGGAGGAGGAGGAAGAGGAGGAGCGAGCGGGCGCAGGCAGTCTCTGGACGCTGAGGTCATGCATAATTCATCAGCTAAACTTTCGGCCCCGCCCCTTTTCTGAGGGTTGGAGTTTTCCCTAAACTTTGTTTATGGGACAGTCCGGGAGCAGCAGCGGCCGCTCCATCTCCTCCTCCTCCTTCTCCTCCTCTTTCTCTTCCTCCTCCTCCTCCAGCTCCGGGATAATCCAAGCTTGATGCTGGGTAGATGGAGGGGAGGATGTGAGAACGGAAACCCCTCTGCCAGGTCAGAAGTCAAGTCCCGAGCTGGAAATCCCGGTCTTGCGTCCACTCCCAGTCTGCCCCCAGCCTCTAAGCAACTAGCCTGGGAGCAGCTGACGGACGAACCGACGGATCGACGGACCCCAAGGCCCCCAGGGAGACCTGACTTTCCCAAGTTGGGATCCGGACTTCGCGCCGAGCTCCCAGTTTGCTCCTTGGCCCGCTTGGCTTGGGCCGGCTGCCAAGGCTCCCTTGGGCTCGGTCGCTCCGGGATCGGGTCCTTCGTGGAGCTGAACAGCCTTGGGCTTCGGGGCTTGTAGTGCTCGGCGGTCCTGGCCCTGTCGGCTCGGGAAGCCGCGAACTCTTCCCGGACACCGAACAGCCGGACCACATCCTAATCTGCACTTCCAAGCGCCCTCCTCCTTCTCCTCGAACTTGTCCTCCTCCAGGGAACTTCTGGGCCACTGGAAAAGTTGCATAATTGTCGAGGAGGCGAGGATTTCCCCTCCCCTCCCCCACCGGGGCCGGGCTGACTGGCGAAGGAAGGTCTACTTGGGTTCCTCGGAGAGGGCATCGATCCCCGTCTCGTTCCTCCGCGAGTTTGCTCTCTGAAGTTTTCATTTTTAGGGGCTGATCCCCAGGCCAGCCCCCGCCCCCGCCCCCCGCTCCCGCCCCTTTTTAATAAACCTGCCGCTCGGTGTGTAAGTGTGTGAGTTAGTGAGTGAGAGGTTGGGAGGCGCACGATGAATCCCGCTTCCGCACCCCCTCCTCTGCCGCCCCCGGGGCAGCAGGTCATCCACGTCACCCAGGACCTCGACACTGATCTCGAAGCCCTCTTCAACTCCGTGATGAATCCCAAGCCGAGCTCTTGGAGGAAGAAGATCCTGCCCGAGTCATTCTTCAAGGAGCCTGACTCCGGCTCGCATTCCCGGCAGTCCAGCACCGACTCGTCCGGCAGCCACCCGGCCCGGCTGAGCGCCGGCGGCGGCGGCGGCGGCGTTGCCGGGGGTGCCCAGCACGTCCGCTCGCACTCGTCGCCCGCCTCCCTGCAGCTGGGCACCGGGGCCGGGGCGGCGGCCAGCGCGGCGCAGCAGCACGCGCACCTCCGCCAGCAGTCCTACGACGTGACCGATGAGCTGCCGCTGCCTCCCGGTTGGGAGATGACCTTCACCGCCACCGGCCAGCGGTACTTTCTCAAGTAAGTGACGGGACCGCCTGACGCTTTCCCGGGGTCCCGGGAGGGGTCTGGGGTGTGAGTGCATGGGCATACAGGTGTGTGTGTGCGTATACAAACGCGTGCGTCTACGTGTGCTTGAGTGCACGTGTGTACTGTGTACCCGAGTGACGACTCTTTCTCGTGGGTGCTGGAGAGTGGTCCCGGGGTAGGTCGCTGTAGTGTTGGCACTGTGTGTGGTGAGGGGGGCGGGGATCGGGACGACTGGGATCTGTTAACTTGGGAAACGTAAATCCCTGTGGTCGTGGGGTCGTGAAATGAAACTGGGTGGGGGGGATTCCCATATTGCTTGCAGGGATAACCTTGCAACTAAAAGTGGGAGGGATGGAAAAGATCAGTCTTGTCCAAGTGGGTCCAGATTAGGACTGGGGCGGGGGGCTGGCGAGGACATCTGCCGATGCCAAAGTGCCAAGAAAAATCAGAGTGGGCAGACAAGTGCTTGTCTTTCAGGGTCTTAAGGAAGGAGTGGATTTTTGGGGGGAGGGCGAGGCGAAAGTTTCTGTTGTCTGAAGTTTTCTCCTTGATGAGAAGAAAACTAAAAAAAGTGAAATGGAACCCGGGGAGGTTGGACCGTGCGCCAGCCCCTTGCTGTCACCCGCAGTTACTCCGTTGTTAAGAGTAGTTAAGGGCTGGACAAAACAATTGTGTGGAAATTAGGTCAGGAGAGTTTTATCGTGTCAGCTGGTGAGAACCTAGAAGACCGTCTCCTTGGCTCCAGCGCCTTTTGCAAAATGTCTCTCCTACTCACAGCTTTGCTGTGAACATTAAACTTTAATTAAAGTTTGGACAATTGTAACCACAGACTTCCGGAAAGGAAAGCTGTGGCTGCGGCCTCTCTTCTAAGAAACTAATCGTCGTGAGGAATACAGGCTTGCACTCTGAAATGTGCCCAAGCTCCCAAGGGCCGACCTTGAGGTTGCACTAGGGCTGGAGCTGGCTTAACCTGGGTTAAAATACAACCGTAGACACCATCGTTTAATGTGTGATGATAGGAAACATACTTAACCAAGTGGAGTCTCAGTTTTCTCATCTGTAAAATGGGGACAAGTACGTCCGCAAACGTTAAAGTGAATTTTGGAATGGATTCATATTTGTGATTTCATTGGTGTGGGGAGTTCCTGGTGTGCAAACGCACTTCAGCTATGTAGATCAGCCACTCCTCTATACTTGACTGGCTGAGAGTCTGAGAGTTGGCTTCTTTGTCTCACTGCAAGGATATTCGAAGGGTAGGACTTGAGCCCAAGAGCTGTCTGTCAAAGATCTGTTTAAGTGCAACTTAGTTGTGGAGTCATTCTTTGATACTGTGGAAAATACTGCATCCCCTCTGATTCACATTGGATGGCCCCTTCCAAATAAATTAATCTGTGCTTATTAATAAATTAACTAATAATTAATAAATCAATCCAGTACTTATGGTAGTGCCTAGAACTGTTTATTGATTGATTGATTGGTTGTCACAAGACACAAGAATGTGAGATTTTTTTTCATTGCTGTTTTCATCTTTTTAACTCAGGCTGGTGAATAATTGCCTGAGAAGCCCTTTCCTGCCCTTTCCAAATCAAAGTAGGTGAAGTAGCTCAAAAGAAACCAAGACAAGCAGATTTAGAGAATGCATCCCAAACGTTCACAGGGGCTATTTGTGCCCTATCTGTAGTAGAAGGTTGGGAGCTCATGTTGGTCTGATGAGCCCCGGTGGGCTGCACTGTAACTTGACTCTAGCATTGTGATGCCATTTTGGTCTTCTTCCAGAACACTAAGGACAGCAACCAACCAACCAGGTAGCATTCTGATTAATGAATGTTGACTTTATTTCCGATCTGGACACAAGACAGAGCCATTAAACTGCAGTGGATGTGTTTTGTCAATTTGGCTTGTGATGTAGCATCCGCGAGCAGCATACTGATGGAGACAGGGGCTGGAAGCCCGCCTCTCACAAGAGAAGTTTGATCACAGGCAGACCTTTTTTCTTCTGTGAACCTCCATTTTCTCATCTGTAAAATGGGCATCATAATTCTAGGAACTAAAGACTTCCCAGGTTTGTTGTGAGGATTCAGTGAAATCCTGTGGGCAAAGAGTTTTGCAAACCTAAAAATGATAAAGAAACCCCAGCTTTTAATATAGATGGTGCCACTGCACTGACAGGCAGTGTTTTAACTTATCAATACCCACTGTAAGTCAAGAATACTATTTATGCTCATTTTAGGCTTTGGGGTACAATAGCTTGGTCTTAAAGGAGGCCCTTTTGGGCTTCCCTCATAGCATTTTAAAGGTCAGGATGCCTATAAAATGGTCATTTTAATTTTGCTTAGGTAATGAAATTTTCAAAGATGTTAATGTAATTTTTATAGGGAGATACTTAGTAAGGATTAAGTGTCTTGGTATAGTGGAAAGAGAACTGGCTCTTTGTAGTCGAGGATCTGGGTTCAAATGCCTGCTCTTGTGTCAGCATATTTCCAAGTAATTTTGGCAAAGTTACTTCACCTCTCTCTGGGTCTGAGTTTCCTCACCTATGAAATAGAAGGGTTAGACTAGATCCCTCCAAGATCCCTCCCTGATCTTACATTTCTTGAACTTTTAATGAAATTTTGGGCCCATTTTTTCTCTTCTCAAATGATTTAAAAGAAGAAATTTGACACTATGTCAGTATGTACTCTAGAAAAAATTATGCGTGATGAAAAATGAGTGGTAAGTGAACTGTGAAGGAGGTTGAGAACCCTTGTGGAGCTTAGAGGCTGGAGGAAGAGAGAGCATTCCCGGCTTTTCTTGGAACAGATCCGAGCCCCACCTGGAGAGTACATAAGGAACACAGGCCAAAAAAGGAAAAAAAAAAGACTAGTTTTGTGTGTAAGTTGTTCCAGGACTCTGCTTTGGAAGGAACCCCCAAGCACTCACAATCTTTGAACCATTTCTGTACATCTGAACTTTGTCCAGGAAAACTGGGGAAAGGTAAGACAAAGGGAGTACCTGGCCTTTGGGTTCATCTAAAGGTATTCTGTTCTAGTCTACCATTTCTTTGACACCAAGGAAGTACCAAGGTGTTCTTCCTCTCAAGACCCCCTAACATCTCATCATCTCACAGCTGCCCTTCACCTTTCACAATTGACTACTCCTTCTTCAGTGATTGACCTATAGCCCATACTAACTCAGTGGCAGAAGTTGTTGTTGGTGGTACCATGACATGCAAGTGAATTGGATTTAAGTGAGGGAGGGTGTGCAAAGTCACCAGCCTCACTTTCTCCTCCAGAATGTTTTAAGGTTTACAAAATGGCAGGCTGGAACTACCACGAGTGGCAGAAGTGATCTCAACTGAAAGCAGGACAGTAATGACCAAGGCAGAAGGAGGATTTAATGTAAGTTTGCTGAGCAGATCTTTCAAGGCTTTGATTAATGGTGAGAAGAAGTAAGTACAATATGCCAGTGTAGTAGATTTCGGAGTTGGGAGACCTGGGTTCAAATCCTGTCTCTGACAGGAGCTGGGCAACTCTTGGCAAGTCACAACCTCACTCAGCCCCAGTGTCTTTAACATTTATACCATCTCTCTCTCAGTGGTGATGTGAAGAAAGTAATTGGCAAACCATAAATTGCTATAGAAATGTGAGCTGTCATTATTACTAATAATATCAATAATAGCTTACATAGTTGTAGGAGGTTCCATTGTTTGGTGGATTGAGTCACTTTTGGAAAAGGGGATCTTTGATCATTGGTCTCTTGTTCTTGCTTGTTGCTTGTTGGGTCTTCCCGTGGGTCCACTTTATTGTCTGTGAAATAGAAGTAGAGAACAGGTGCTCTATCCTGCCTTAGAAATGTGAGTTGAGCTCTAACTAAAAGCATATGTCTTCACCTAAGTAGGTGAAGCTTCAAGTGAAAATCACTAGAGCCTTCATGTCAAACCAAGTTTGGAGACTGTAGGGGAAGCAGTGCAGCCCAAGGCAGGGGAAAGAGCCAGACCTGGCTTCCATTTCTGGCTCTGCTGTTTCATAGATTTTGAGCTGGAATGCATCCCAGAAATCATCTCATTGAACTGCCTCTTTTTACAGATGGGAAACCGAGGTTTAAAGAGAAACAGAGACAGAATGGGAAACCAAGCCTTCCGATTTCCAAATTCAGTACCCAATCCACTGGACAGTGTTATTGCCTCTGTGACCCTGGGCAAGTCACTTAACAGTTTGTTCTCAGTTTCTCCACCTGTAAAATAAGGGGGTTGGACTTTTGAGGCTTCTTGCGACTCTAACCCCTATGGACTGTGCAAAACACTAAGCTTTCATCGAAGGTAGGGAGGAGGGAAATCATATTTACCAAAGAAAAGACTTTTTTTTTCTAGTGTGTGTGACTGGATCACTTTTCTGTGCTTCAGAAAGCATTCCTTTCCTCGTCTTTTCAGACATTCCATTATGGCAAATAGTGTCAGTGGAGAAGATCTAGGGTAAAAAGACTTGCCTGTATTATGAATGTGGCTTGAAACATTTTCCAAACTGGCTGTCTCATTTTAACAGGCCATTAACCTGTGCTGGAACAATAATATATGTTAGGTTTCAAGTGAATTTGTGATCTCAGCTATGTGTGCACAGTCCCTCCAACAGTACTGATTGTAGCCCCATCTTTACCTCCTTATCCTGTGTATCTCTCATCCATGTCCTCCCATAAATCCTCCATGGTGAAGGGTATACTGGTATACTTTCTTCTTCTCTGTCTCTGTCTGCCTGTCTTTGTCTGCCTCTCTCTCTCTCTCTCTCTCTCTCTCTCTCTCTCTCTCTCTCTCTCTCTCTCTCTCTCTCTCTCTCTCTCTCTCTCTTTGGGGCCTCCACATCAAGTAGGGCCCAGTACATCTCTGTGCCTGTCCGTTTTTTTTAAATCTTTCATTCTTGCTATCTTGCTGCCCTACCCTCTTTTTACTCTTATTTATTTATTTATTTTTGGCTAGACTATGGGGTTAAGTGACTTGCCCAGGGTCACACAGTTAGTAA